TTGTTAAACCCTATTTGTTGCTATTTTAGTTTATGACTGGTGCATAGATAATATAATAGTCATGCAACGACGTTGTTTTTGTGCTAAATCTGTTGCGAAGAATACATTGTTTGTTTTTATTGTTAGGTTATGCTATTTTAGTTTATGAAAATTGCATAGATAGTATATTTTTTATGCATATTTAGTTGTTTTTTGTACTAGAACTGTTGAGAACATTTTGTTTTTTCTCGTCTCTATATTAGAGCTTGTAGAATGCATAAATATTGTATGTTCATTGTATTGCTGCTATATTAGTGAATAAAGTATGCATATAGTTTATGTTTTTTGCTTAATTAGTTATCAAATGTTGCTTGATATGTTCATATTTACTTATTGTTGTATCAGTGCTTGTATGACGCTAGATAGTGAATATATTAGTGCTTGACATGTCCATATCTACAATGTTGTGATTTAGTTGGTTGTGGTTGCATATTTAGTTCTTATTAGTTGCATATTTAGTTGGTTGAGTTTGCATATCTAGTTTATATGAGTTGCATATTTAGTTGATTATAATTTATTTCATTTTTATGTTATTGTAAGACAAATATTCTTGAAGTATGCCTCGCGTTAAGAGTACCAAGCGTAAAAGAACTAACCAAGATGTTGATGATATTCTCTTGCTTACTGATGGCAAAGAAGGTCAGCCGGATGTTAATAATCCCTTCCCAAAAGTGATAACTCGGTCTTCTCCGAAGATCCTAGTGGATGCTATGAAATCTTTTAACCAACAACAGCGAATAGCTGTTGAGCAGATGGGGTTTGGATGTCTGTTTCATCTCCAAATCAAGGAATTTCTGACTCAGTTGGTGCACTGGTTGTTGTCAAATTTTGATCCTGTTAGTTACCAGCTTGATCTTGGGAAAGGTAGAGGTATTCATGTGTCGTCTGTGGATGTTCTGCGTGTTCTAGGCTTTCCCAATGGTGATAAGCCTATTGAGAAGAAAAAAAAAATCTGAGGAGTGTGATTTGTTGGATAGATGGAGAGGTCAATTTGTTGAGAAGAAAATTACCCCTGACATTTTATGCAAGAAAATGATGGAGTGTGTTAATGGAGATGAGTGGTTGAAGTTACATTTTCTTGCTCTTGTGGATTGTCTGATTGTGGGTACAAACCAGTGTGGATATGTGAATCCTCTTTTTTTCAAGTTTATTTCTGATTTGTCAGCGGTATTTGAGTTGAAGTGGTGCGACTACATCATCCAGAACCTTATATCAAAGAGTGATCATTGGCACCTGAGTAATAAGAAGTTTCAATTTAATGGTCTTGTTCTTTTTCTTGTGGTAAGTATTCATCTCTATATTATTTCTTATAAATTTGTTTAGATTGTTATTCTTTGATATTTTATTTATTTATTTGTCAAAACGCAGGTTTTATATGTTGATCATGTAGTGATTTATGAAAGAGATGTTCTTCCAAGGAGTGTGCCTTCGTTTGTGGGATGGAATCGTGAGATTCTCGGTCGACGATGCTCTAAAGAAATTAAGGTTGGTGGTTTTGGCCGGGGATTTGTTGATGAACCGAAGGAGATTCCGCCTTTGCAGTTCAAGAGACATGAATTAAAGGATGTTTCTGATGATCCTGTACAGGTTTGTTATTCCTTTGTTTGGTTTTTGTTGCATATGTAGTTGATATCTGTTGCATAAGTAGTTCTTACGAGTTGCATATTTAGTTCATTTGAGTTGCATATTTAGTTCATATGAATTGCATTCTTAGTTGATATGAGTTGCATATTTAGTTCTTGGGAGTTGCATATTTAGTTTTTCGGAGTTGCATATTTAGTTTATATGAGTTGCATATTCGTTATGGTTAATGCTTTGTTCATCTGTTGTGCATGTTTAGTTCTTATGTGTTGCATATGTACACATATTGTGATGCATATTTAGTTGATTTTTAATGCTTATGTGCTTATAATTGTCCATTTTTTATATCTTGTCTATTTAACAGGTGTACAGATCAAAACTTCTTAGCAAAGTTGCCTGTTTGGCCACTGATGTTGTTGATGTGATTTCGTTGCTTCAAGATGCACCTGAGGAGGTGGCAAATGATGGGGATTACATGAAAATTCATGAAGCAACCAAGAATCTCATTTCTTCCAATCCTGACAATCCTGAATCTTCGCAAAGACCTTCTACAGTTGATTATGAAGACAATGAGGAAATGAATGCTTTCTGGAATAATCCAGAAACTATTGCAGTAATCGAGAAGGTTGAGTGTGCCATTAAAAAGAGAGCTCAATATGAAAAGACAAAGGCTGATATTTCAAGTTTTTCTTTGGGAATGGGGTTGTCCCAAGAAAGTGACAGGAGTTGGGAGGATGTTCTTAATATTTCTAAGCAATTTTCCGAAGATCCAAATGTTGATGATATTCAATGTGAAAGAACAATTCCTAATGTTGGTGTTGAAGTTTCTGTTGAGGAATCAGCTGATGAGGCTCATGTTTCGGGTGGAGTGCCAACTTCTTATAAAGCCCCTTTGAAAGTGTCTTTTGAAGAGCCAATTTTAGATGAAGTTCCTT